TTATTTCAGTTCAGACCAGGCTTATAGTTAGGTGTATTTCATTTTAGCATGACTTAAAACCAGAGTAAAGGGGAGCCACACAGCTTTTTGCACCAGTTTAACCTTCGCCAGGTTAGAAATTTCACCTCAGTTTAAACCAAAGCAGACTTCTTGTGTAGACATGGCTACTTGATGACTGGGAGAGAGCTGGCCTGGAAGGATTCCGGCTCAGGCCCTCTTTGACTTAGGACCTGATTTTCAAGAGTGCTGAGCCCCTGGTATGTTCTCCGCCTTCAGTGAGCTGATGTTGCTCAGCACCATGGAGAATCTGCACCACAAGTGTGTGCCATGCTGCCCCAAGATGCTAGGGGGAGGAATTAGGTGGATGTGTTGGCATTGGCCTGGGATCTACCCTCTCTGTTCTCCTTCCAGCTCCGGACTATGACAAAAGCCAGTGGATTAAGGAGAAGGAGAAGCTGGGACTGGATTTCCCAAATGTATGTAGAGTTGCTCTGGGTGGGTGGGCAGGCAGGTCCTTCCTTGGGGTGTGGTGGGTTTGGGAGTTTCACTGATTAAGATGGATTCTGGGTGGGGACCAATGCTGGGGTATCGTTGGGGTTCTTGTGCAGAAGTAGCAGGGAGGGGGGAGTGTGGGAGCCGGAGAAGTGGGAAGAGCTTGCTTACTAACCTTGCCTCTGACTGCCCTTCCAGCTGCCCTACCTCATCGATGGCAAGAACAAGCTCACGCAGAGCAATGCCATCCTCCGGTACATCGCACGCAAGCACAAGTTGTGTGAGTATCGGTGGGGGGAGGTCTGGGCCTCACTAATGATCAAGGGGCTGGGATTTGGCTGGCGGTGAGCACTCTGACATTTGTTGTGTCTCCCAGGTGGTGAGACAGAGGAGGAGATGCTGCGAGTGGACATGCTGGAGAACCAGGCCATGGATTTCCGTATGAGCCTTGTAATGATCTGCTACAATCCTGACTTTGTGAGTTCATCCATGCTGTCCGGGGGGGGGCTGCAACAAGACCTTGTTGATTTCAGGACAAATCCCACTCCAATACTATGCTATTGGCACACACAGGATTTTCCATACTAGATTGGGTCCATTTAGCTGGTATTCTGCTTCTGGCCCAATACTTAATCCTTCAGGGGCAGGTGAATAATGGTCTGAGTCACTTGCATAATGCTGTACCGGGGGAATTCCTTCCTGGCCCTCACAGGTGACCTGCCCTGAAACATGATACTGCTCACCCGTAGATCCTTATTATGACAATGGCAAACTCCAGGTGCCCTTCCCACTACAAGAATTTACTGTACATTGGGTGGGCACAGGGTTGCCTTGGTCTAATCCACAGCTGTCTCTGAAAACTTTCCCTCTTCCTCTCTGCAGGAGAAACTGAAGCCTGGCTACTTGGAGCAGTTGCCTGGGAAGCTGAAGCTGTTCTCTCAGTTCCTGGGAAAGAGGAAGTGGTTTGCTGGGGAGAAGGTACATGGGGGTGTGATTGGGGGAGGGGCATGGGAACAGACTCGACTGCCCTGTGTCACTTCTCTCTCTTCTCTCTCCAGATCACTTTTGTTGACTTTGTCATGTACGACATCCTGGACCAGAACCGCATGTTTGAGCCCAAGTGCCTGGATCAGTTCCAAAACCTGAAGGATTTTCTTGACCGCTTTGAGGTGAGGTTTGCCCTGACTCCTGTAATGCACTGCTCTGGTTATCCAGGGACAGCCCAGCTGCAAACATTAACTCCTTTGCAGAGAACTGGGCAACAGGCAAAGAATTTCATTCTCTAACAGATACAGCAGCTGCCAGAGCTATTGCTAACAAGTACTTGTTAGTGCTTCTGGTGGGAATGGAGATGTCTGCCCTACTGGTGCCAGAGGGTGGTAGTCTGACAACTCTGGAGGGAGTTGAAGTCCTCTTTGCTCTGTAACCACACATGTTTTTCCCCTCCAAGTGCCCTGTAGATTTGCTTCAGCCCTGACTGAGGCCTTCCTCTGAGAGAAAGAGTCGTCTCTCTCCTTGGCCATGTATCTGATGGGCTCTCTGCTGGCCTCTGAGGGACTGGCTACCTCCTTCTCTAATGGAGAGGTAGCCACATCTTGGTGCCCCGCTTGCTTGGTGATCTTGGCAGACACTCTTCAGGTGGCACTGGCAAGCTGGGATGGGACACTCCTATCCTGTGAGCCCTCCTAAGCAATGTCTCTTGGGATTCCCAAAGCACACTTGCTCCTGTTCTACTTTGTCCTTGCTCTGTATGTTGTTGGCCATGAACTGCTGTGGAAATGGCTGAAGTGGCAGGCACTGGTTCCAGGTGGAAATAGGTGCTGGGACAGAAAGGAAGCAAAAGCCATACTTGCCATTAGTAGTTTTCTATATTATCCTAGCCTGACTCCTGCCATAGCTTCAGTGAAGCAAGAGAGGGTCCTTGTATGTGGATCAGGGGCAATGGGCCAGTCTCCAGTCTGCCAAGGTACAAGGTAGTATCCGGGAGCTGGTTATGGATTCCTAACTTTGGCCTGGGCCAGGGCCAGAGCAGAGAGCAGCAATGGGGCTGCTCTAACCTGTGGCAGGAGGCAACAGTCCCTAAAGGATTATATTACAACTGAGGATGTGCTCTGGCCACTCCTGCCCTGGGGACTGTAGGGAGGAGGTACAGGAGCCAACTTTGCACTCCGGGGATCACCACTATTCAGTGCTGGGGGAAACCCTAGCTAGTTGAGGGTGTGGCCACTCCTTGAGCAGCACAAAGGGAGTAGGGCAGAAAACGTCCCACCATGCCAGCAGGTATAACTGGTTCCTCAGGGACTTGCTAGACATAACACTGATCAGACTCCTGACTGGGGGATTTGGGGGACCCCCTTTGGTGTGGCCCAGAAGAGGCTTCATGTTCATGTTTCAGGGGGTTGAGGCTGTGTTGTGAGGTGGTTTGGGAAGCAGACTGTCTCCCCTCTGCTCAGGGCTCTTCCTCTACTCTCTCCTTTCTCCCCCCCCCAGGCCCTGGAGAAGGTCGCAGCCTACATGAGCTCTAGCCGCTTCATGAAAACTCCCATCAACAACAGGATGGCCAAATGGAGCAACCAGAAGAAGTAGATCTGTGTGGAAGGGAGGGGCTGGAGAGGAATAATCCAGAGCCCCCACTTGCTGTTTGTGTACGGACTCCCTCAGATCGGATGTTGTGAGGGGGTGGACAGTTGAATATGTTAAGTGGCGGCTTCAGTGAATTGCTCTGTGGAACAATCACTAAACGTGTGTAGTGACCCTACTCTGAAATGACCAGCCAATAAATGTTTAGTAATTGCACAATGGCTCCCTCTTGCTGAGTTGCTGTAGCCTCCCTGGAGGAAACCAGCCTCTCCAGTGCTGCCTCTTCCCCGTGTCTGTTCAGTTAACCAAGCTGGGAATAGCCAAGTACGCAGCACCACATCACGTCTCCTACAGGGCATCAAGATGAAATCCTGCTTTGGCTTTGATGCCTCTGCAGTTGTCAGTGGAGTGGTGCAGGTGGAACTTCCCCCAACCCCTGGTCATGTATAATCATGCTGTTGATGTACCTCCCTTGGTGGCTAGGGTGAACCAAACTAACAGCATCAGCCTGATTCTCAGTTGGTGCTGGTCAGTGTTGCTTAGTGGATTTAGAGGGCTGCTGTTACTGTAGATCCTCTTCAAGGGAAGAGGCTCTGGCCTGTTTCCCATTCCATCCTCGTTGGTGCTGAAAAGCCCTGTTTCCTGGCAACCAATTATAGGTACTTTCCTTGGGTGCCCTACCCTGATGACCCTGGCCTGTGGGGGAGTGATGCTCCAGGCTGGGTTGCCATGGCCCTGGCAACTCAAGGACCAGTATCATCTGAACTTGCAGGGGAGGTTTCCTGTGCCCCACCAATTCCTCTGGAGATACTTAATGCTATTTAAACTAGGTAGCTTTAGTAAATTAGGGGTTTGAGGGAAGTCCAGCTGTTGGTGAAAGACTTAATGCTACATCAGTAAACAGGTTGGCAGGGGCCCAGTGATCTTGATCTGCTTTAGTATTCTGGAAGAAGAGAAGCTATGTCTAGCCTGGATGTTGATGGACTGGTCTAGGAACAGGGTGGATTTGATTTAAATCACTAGTCAGGAAGACTCAATTTAATCATGGATTTCTACATAAAAGTGCATTCTTGTTGGTTGGTATAACCTTAATACATATTCTTCCCAACTCAGAGATAGATGTAGGTATCATTTTTAGAAAGTACACACTATACATTTTTAAACTGATTTATTTTGAAAACTTTTCAGTTGAGTTTTACAGCTATATAAGCAAATGAAAGATGGTTATTTCATTTACCAAAGGTAACTGAAGCAGATAGTTCACCTCCCAATGACTTCATAAATATCTCCAATTCAACAGGTTAATCATAATATTTGGAGGATTTTCTTGCCATGCTGTATTAGGAAGAGAAGATCACCTGACAGACATTTAAATTGTTTTATTTAACTAAAACAACATTAAGTATTCTGGATTTTTTTCTTCAACATCAAACATATTTTAACAAAAAAGCATGTCCCTCGCTTCACATTTATCTCCAGACTTCTTCTCCTTGTCCAGATCTATTCCGCCCCCAACAATCTTCTATTCATTTAACTTTTTGAAACTTTGCGCTTTTAGAGAAAGGTAAGGGATTGACTGTGTATGCAAATTTGCAGAGGGACAATAGGGTTGAGGTCTGTTATTTCTCACCTCTCTCTATATATTTATTTATTTATAAACACTTTTGCTATTAAAAAGCACGTTACCTCTGGAGACAAATTCTCAGTTTGAGAAGTGCAAAACTTAGCATCTCTGGTGGTATCTTCTAGACTGAGCACTGAGTCCCAGTGGGTACATAGAAAGATTAACTAAATGATTTATACAGAAGCCCCTGGAACCCCATAAGATTGGGTCCCTAGTCCATGAACTATTGGAACTCATTTACAAAACTTTTCTTAAACATTACATGAATATATTGTCTCATACTAAAGAATTAGAATTTATAATCCCTATTCCATGATGAGATATTTGAGCTATAATGTATCTTAATTAAAATTATCTTGATTGGTTTTCCCCAAAAAGCAGTTTATCAAAAAAAGCTGATTTTAAACCAATTGTTTTTTTTTTTTAAATTTATCTACCCTGTCTAGGAACCATCACGTGGCCAGTTTACATGGCTTCAGCCTAATTCTCAAGAATCTTGCAGCTGGCTTAACAAGCAACCAGTGTTAGTGCATTGGGCATGGCCTTGTTTTGCACCAAGGCTCTAAGTAGCTGCATGGATTAAGGTTGCACAGACAAATGCCCTCTTTAAAGATGCTGCTGTCCACCAGTCACTGACTGGGTCTTCTGGCTACCATACACACAGCCAATGGGGAGGGAGGTGACACTCATCCAATACACAGTGCTTCACATGCAAGGTAGTGTGTAAGCTACCCAAGGCTCAAGTGCTAGGAGGACTTCTGGTCCTGTACAGTTCATAACCCAGTTCTTTAGTGGCCTAGCTCAGTGTCCGCCACTAGGTTGGGAATTTCCCGCAAACTGAAATGTTCAGTTTGGTGGGTGCCAAACAACTTGACACACACCCCCCACACACCTTTCCTCATCTTAATCTCTACTTCATTAAAACCATTTTCCCATCCCTGGTATCAGGGGAAGAGCTCCTAGCCCCTCTGGAGGAGGTGGGGGGGGAAGAGGCTGTCCCCTATTCCTAATACTCTTCCAAAGTCAACTCCTAAAAGGAGCTAGGAAAGAAATTGAATCAAGAACTTTCTTTAGCCATTATTAGGTGAAGTTTATTTAATGGTATGTAGTCTTAAATTGCTCCTGGCTAGAAAAACCTGTGGAAAACAATACAACCATTTTGGGAGATCTTGGCCCTGCAGGCTTGATCTTAAGCAGAAAGATTTTCTTTTAGATGCAATAAGACTTACCCAGCTCTGCAAAGGCATAATAGTAGGGAAAGAAAGCCAAGCATTCTAGGGGGTGTATCTTTGAGTTTAACAATACATGTAACCCCAGAACTGGTGCTGTACAACTGGGAGAGTTGGACAAAGCCTGTTGGGGAGCTAAACTTATCTGCCTTTGATCAGAATGCTGAAGTCCATGTTTAGCTGGAGCATACGTAGCTTTAAGAATAAATTAGCGTTATTTGTAGTGCAGGAGAACCGAGCAGCCTGTTACGGACCAGGACCCCCCTTGTGCTAGGTTCTGTACAAACTGAACAAAAACAGTCCTTGACAGTTGGGTGACACATGGCTATAGGGGATGTCTGCACTGGGAACAAGAGGCAGGGGAAGAGACTGAGAAGAATCCTAGAAGAGCAGTAGGGCTGATGCTAGGAGACCTGCTGTCCCTCGGTTCAGTCTCGGGGCCCTGGGATGCTTCTGCCAGACCGGAGATGGTGTAGAAAGGAGACAGCTAATCGTGAGGGCCAATCTGCAACAAGGAAGAGAAGTGCAGGGTGCTGAGGTTCCAGACCTTGGTCCTAGGGCTGGGCCCAGGGGCCAGGCTAGCACTCCTTGCAGGGTGACTGTACCCAGCACGCCTAGCACAGTGGGAAGCAAAGGTTGGTTAGTGCCACTCTCCAGTTTTCAGAGGAAACCCTTCATAGATGTGCCCTTCTCCTCCCCTGCACATTTTTGGATGCTTCCTTTGCCCCACCCCCACTTGTTTTTTTCCTCTTTCCTCCCACCACCAATTGCATTTTACCAATGAAATGGGGGGGAATCCAAACAACTGAAAAAGCTGCTCTGTTTTTTCCTATTTTATAAAAATAAATTTTCTAAATGGAAACTTATTCAGGGGTTTGAAAGCCCCCCCTCCTTTTTTTTTTTTTGGACAAATTTTGTTTGAACATGTTGGTTCAGTTCCATGCTATTGATCTTCAGCAGCTTTCAGGCAACGAGCTCTGGTCCTTCTCTGGCCCCTAGCAGCAGAGGATCTAAGCACCCCACTTTTAGTGGATTTATCCTCACAGCCCCCTATGCTAGTGCTCCTCCACCTGCCTTCCCTGAGTTTGCAGATGGCACTGGGATGCAGACAGGCGCTAGGCCAGAGCTTAGAGGGAGACACCGTGCGTGTGCTCAGAGGCAGAAACGTAAAGGCCTAGGGAACTTTTACAGAAAACATTTAGGCTTGGAGTGAGTTTAGGTGCCTATGGGGTTCGGTGGCTGCCAGGCAGGGTTTTGTAGAGTGCAGGGGTGCCTAACACTGGGCCTCAGGCAATAAGTACCTTTGTGGATCTGGGCTGAAGGGTCTCAAAAGGAACCCCAAAGCCCCCAACCTTTGAAGACTGTGCCCTTCCCATAAGTCAGATATGAATACCTCAGCCAGGCCTCCCCATGCTCATCTCTCTGCCGCACCTAGACACCAGCCCCTTGTGTGTTTGGGAAGTCCCCTCTCCCAGTGTTGTAGAGACCCCTGCAGAGTCTGTTCAGTGATGGCCCAGGCAGGGCCCTGGGATGCTGGCTATGTGTATCTACTAAGCCTGTAGCAGACTCACCCCCAGGGACGATTTAACAGCAGAGAGCTTGAAGAAGACACGTCTTCCCTCTTCTGGGCAGACAGTTTTCATCTCCTCCTGGCTCATCCCCAGCAGCTGGTTGCCATTGAGCACGCCAAGGCACTTCACCGTGCTGCAGGGAGACAGACAGATGGTGAGGGAGGGGTAGCTAAGTGCACAGGGCAAGGAGTAACCCCCTGAGATCAGCTACCTGGTAAAGGGTGGGACTGCAAAGAAAAACAATGGACTGAGGAACTGGCAAAGCTCCCCGGTCGGACCATCAGCAGGGGAGACTGGCCTGGCGGGCGCGGTCTCTGTTCTAGCAGCAGCGGGAGCTGGACACAGGCAGATCTGCGCCAGGTGAGGTGCAGATGGATGGTGGGGGGGGTGGGGGCGTTTGCTGGAATGTACTATCCAAGATGGGGAGAGCTGGTATCAGTACCTTAGGGAAGCACTAACTGGGGCAAGAGGCACCAGTCAGTTTCATGCCTGGGAGTGGCCACCTGCCCCTTCTAGGGCATAAGGATCCTGCTTTCTTCCCTGGGGATGGAAGGGGGGGTTGTTCTTCCCTCTCCCCAGGTATCAAAGTGTCCTTGACACCACGGTCCCACACAGCTCTGGGCCTAACCCCAAACTGCCCAACGGTGGCTTGGCCAATTCTGTGCCACTGAAGTCAGCGGGCACATGATCAGCCCCCAGGGCTTCAGGATTGGGCCTGATGTGACTCAGGGAGACCAGTGGGGTGATGGCAGGGAGGGGCCTTTCTCAGATTGAGAGAGAGGCTGGTTTCCAGGGTTAGCGACTGAGACAACCTACATCTTGGAGAAGCCCATGTCCCGCAGCCAGGCCGTCACCTCCGCCGGCGTGGAGTGCTGCTGGAGACCAGGGGAGCTGCTTGGCGCCTAGATCCAAAAGAGAGGAGGGGACTGAGGAGTCTCACAGCAAATGAGAGCTAATCACGTCCCCCCAACAGACAAGCGAACACTTCCCTCTTCCCCCTTCTGGCCACCCCGCAAGCCACTGCCTGCAGGTGACAAGCTCTCAGAGCTGGTGTCTGCTGGATGGGAGATCGGGAGCCTTTAGCACAGTGCAGGGGATGAGATCAGGAAACCCCTATTCTACAGCCAGCATGCGCTGAACCGCTAGCAAGCTAGTTCCCATAATCCCAACCCCAGGGTGTGGGGACAGCGCCCCAGCACGGGGGGGGGGACCCAGCCAGGTCAGTGGGTTGCTGCAGCTTGGAGTGGAACGGGGGGACCTACTTGGTTCATGCTGTTCTCCACAGGCTCCTGATCCACTGGCCCCACGATGTTGTTCGGGATATAGCCCCTCTCGCCGGCGCTGTTTCTAGCAAGCCACCACTTCTTCCTCTGGTCTAGAATCTGAGCCAAGGGACACAGCGTAATTCAAATCAGCCCCCAGGAGCCCAGGTGGTGAATGAGTGAAAGCCGTCACCCCGGCTACCAGAGCAGGGGGTCACCCTCATGGCAATGCCAGACTCCCAGCATGGCATGGGGACTGTCTAGGGCATCTATTGGCAATTAGAGGCCTAGGCCTGGTCTACACTAGGGGGAGGGGGTCGATGTAAGATACGCAACTTCAGCTACGGGAATAGCGTAGCTGAAGTGGATGTATCTTATTTCGACTTACCTCCCGTCCTCACGGCGCGGGATCGACGGCCGCGGCTCCCCCATCGACTCCGCTACCGCCACTCGCCCTGGTGGAGTTCCGGAGTCGATGGGAGCGCGTTCGGGGATCGATATATCGCATCTAGACGAGACGCGATATATCGATCCCCGATAGATCGATCACTACCCGCCGAGCCGGCGGGTAGTCTGGACGTACCCCTAGAGACTAAGGCCAGACAGGACCATTCTGATCTCCTGCAGGGCACGGGCCAGAGAGGGTCACCCAGTGATTCCTGGCTGACACCAGCTGAGGATCAAACTAAATAAATATCACACCAGATTCTGGACTGATTGGACTGGGTTTCTGGGGAGACAACTCCAGGTGCCTGCTGTGTAATGCAGTGCTACTGTCCCACCACCCATGACACGGTGTGAGATATAGATCCATCAATCTGAAGGCCAGAAAGGCCCCTTCTCCCCATCGTTTGACCTCCTTCATAGTCCAGCCCAGAGAATTGTGCACAGTGTCTAGTCCCTGCTGTAATGTGTCACACTACTGGGCCATCAAGTCCAGTGTGCTGTTTCCAGATGAAAACAAACAGCCTCTCCCAAAATTGCATCTAGCCAGACGTGCCCAGGGAGGAGGTGACATTTCCTTCCTATCCCCCGCCCACCTCCCCAAAATCCGAGACATCCAACTTCCACTCTCATGAGACCGGAGCATACATCGTTATAGTATGGGCATTAATAGCGGGCTTAATTTTAGTAGATGTCTGAAAACCCAGTACTGGGCACAGTACTATCGGTAGCAGCAACCCCCCACAGGCCGATCCTGTGCATGATATTTAGTCCTTGTTCCCCAGCCGTGCCATTGTGCAGCCTCTGGGCTGGTGGCATTTAGCCATAGTCAGCAATCAAAGGTCATTCTGTGCCTTGGTGCTGTAAGCCCTCTCTGCCTGTTTTCCAATCTCCGTTCACTTTGATCCACCAGTCCCTAGTAGCCGCCCTCCCTCTATATCTGTAAGTAGTCCCAGAGGAATGCACTGTGCTTTAGAGAGAATGAAGACCCAGTTTCCTCCCAAAGGTATCTAAGTTCTGGCGCCAAGACCGCCTAGTAGAGACTGAACAATTCCCTGGCTTCATAGGACAGTTCCTGCCTTACCTCCAGCAGTTCCCCTTTCACGACAGTCAGCTCCTTGTTGTTCCTGGCCTGGAATTCATACATGGCTTGCATGCGCTGAGGGGGACTAGAAGGAGCTCTGGAAAGAGACCATGTATGGACTGTGACCATCTCAGGCCTAGATCCCTAGGGAGCCAGCTAAGAGATCCAGCTGCTTCTTCCAAAAAGAGAACCCCATCCTGATCTCTCTCACAAAGCTCTGCATGGCATGTAACTGTTGATTTCAGTACTACTCAAATCACCAAGAGGAGGTCTAGACCCACAGGATTTTTGTCTAGACACAGCTAGAGGACCTGATCCTGAAGGGTGCTGAGCACCCTCAGCTCTCGTCACTCCCCCCATGGAAGTTGCGGGTGCTGCCCCCACCCACCCCCCAGAAGTGCTCAGCGCCTTGCAGGGTCAGGCCCATAGTCTGTTACTGTTGGGAGAACAGAGCCACTCGGCTACCCTGACACACTCAAGGGGAAAGAGCAACTGGCTGGGGCCAGGTGACCCAAAGGTGAACAGCAGGGGCTTGGGAGGGGCTGTGGGCTTTGCCCACAGAGATGGCATAGACAGCAGTCAGGAGTGGCAGGATGGCATGGAGAGAGCTCTCAGACCATGGGGTGGGGGGCCAGGAGAGGGTGACCCACTTTCAGAGGCAATAATGCAGCGAGCAATTAAGATACTCGACAAGGGAGCTAAATGAGCTACTCATTTGCTGTCTCCAGCGGGTTTGACCTTCCTGTCTCACACAGACCCTCTTTTGTTCCAGGGATGCTTCCCCCATTTCTGACACAGTGTGAACAGTTGAACCCAAGGGTGGACAAAGCCCCCACCTTGGGTTTCCCTCCCTGGCATCACTGCAGCTGACAACAGGGCCCCTTTGTAATGAGCTGCCCTGGCACCCACCCACAGGCTCAGCGACATCCCAGGATGGAAGCACGGCTCTGCTGGCAGGCTGAGACCAGTCAGCTGTGGCAGATTCTTCTGCTGGTAGGACAGAAAGAACCTTGTGTGTGTAGCAACTGCTGTGGGAGTGTGTGTAGCGTGTGTAGGATTTGGGGAACAGGACTGTGTTGAGCAAGGTGTGTGTGTGTGCGCACTTGCGGTCTCAAGAGGTGATCCCAGCAAGTTCTGAGTAGGAGTTATTTGCCCCTCACAGCCAGGGGCCCTGTGCTGCCCGTGTTCATTAATTCACACTGAAGTCCAAGGGGCCTTCCTGGATGCAGTGTATTGGGACATTTCTCAGAACCTCAATAGGAAGCCGGGCCAGCCTAGGGACAGGAGCACGTACCTGGACGCGGCGTGGTTCTGGCTTCCCAGGGGCTGCTGCATGGAGAGACGATAAACATGCTTTAGTTACATCCTAGGGGGGTATTCCAGGGAAGCTGAGTGTGGAACAAGAGTCCTTCATGGCGCCCACTGAACAGACGTGTGATAACCCCCAGAGCCAGAGAAACAGCCTGGATAGGCTACACAGCACGTGTGACCCCGGCAGCTTCTGGTCTGCAAATATAAGCCTGTCTTTCCAAGCTACAGAAGAATCTCCCTCAGCTGTTAGCAATAGTAGGGCTTTTATCACTGCTAGACCCTGGGTGGAGGGGCAGCAGTCCACACACAGCAAATTCTGCATGCACTAAGGCTACGTCTTCACTACAGGGGGGGGTCGATTTAAGATACGCAAATTCAGCTACGCGAATAGCGCAGCCGACTTACCCCGCAGTAAGGACGGTGGCAAAATCGACCTCCGCGGCTTCCCGTCGACGGCTCTTACTCCCACCTTCGCTGGTGGAGTAAGAGCGTCGATTTGGGGATCGACTGTCGCGTCCCAACGGGACGCGATAAATCGATCCCTGAGAGGTCGATTTCTACCCGCCGATTCAGGCGGGTAGTGTAGACCTAGCCTAAGTCCCTGGTAGGGGACGTAATCCTTTCCCAGAGACTCACTCACTGCACAAGGTGCCAAGTCACGGCCTGGCTACAACCTTCTGTTCAGTGTTTAAAGGGAAGGATGGGCTTACAGCAGTGCAAAGCGTCTTCCCCTCCCCTGGACTCTGAGTTCCGATGTCCGGCTATGGTACACCTATAGCACTATAGCATCTGAGTGCCTCATAACCATTCATGCAGCTGTCCTAAGACTCCCTGGGTGAGACAGAGCAGTGCTACTAGTCCATTTTGCAGATGGGAAATTAAGTCACGGGTCCTCAAAGGTATTTAGGCACCTAACACCTATGGAAGTTAAGTACCTGAATACCTTTGCGGCTCTCTGCCTAAGTGACTTGCCCAAGGTCATATGGGCAGTCAGTGGCAGAGCAGGAGCTTGAACCCGGGTCTCCCAGGGCCCAGGCTAGTGCTCTAACCACTAGACAACCCCCTCTCTCTTACAAGGGGGTCCGGGGCCAAACTGCCTCATCAGTTTTGCTTCTGTGAGATGAGCCCATTAGATGTCCCTTGTGCTATTCCCCCTTCCCAATGACAGTGCTTCAAGTGGGCTGAGAGTGATGTGAGGGGAATCTATCGTAATCTGGGAGTAGCAGCTTTGGGAAGACAGTACTTAAAGTGCACCCCTCGGCCACCCAGCTCAAATTTTAATTTGTGCCGCCATGAACAGCCTGGCAGTCAAGACTCACCCCTTCCACGTGAGTGGCGTTCTCCCTCTGGGTCGGCAGGGGGGGCACCCACCCATCTGAGAAGATGGGGATGTAGGGAGGGATGAACTGTCCGCCTGGGTACTCTGTCCTGGGATGGAGAAGAAAGAGAAGACTTTGCAATGCTGGTCTCCAGACAGGACTGTAAACACGTCTCTCTAATCACCGGCAGCTGCACAGGGTGGGTGGGAGCGACTCGAAGGGGGACCCATAGCCCTGACAACAAGCAAAGAACAGGTCAAGGGGCTCAGGCTGGGAAGGGAGGCACCAGTCAGCCCTGCAGGAAGGTGCACATGGCGGTGGAGGGGACGATGGAAAACTCAGTGAATTGAGCTGCTGGTTCCGAGCCGGCTCGGGCTGGTAGAGACAGACGCTGTTCCTGGATGTCTGATGCCTGTTTGGGAGGAATTGACTCTGCCCTCAGCCCAGCTTCTCTCCCCATCTCAGGGCTGAATGGGCAATGGAGCTCGAGCTCGCCTCTCAGACCAAGACAGGGCTGGGTAATGCGGGGAAGCTGTTGCCTGGGGCTAAAGAGTGGACTTCAGACCAGCAACTACAATCCGGATTATCATTAAAGGGGGAGATGGCTCCACTGGATCCCAGTTCGAGTTCTTTCCACGTTCGCCGGCTTAAGATCCTCCCCGTTAACAGCAACAGACGGTGCACGTGCCAAGCAGCTGCTCCGCGCCCTGCTGGCTCGGCACAGGGAATGGCCTGGATGGTCGAGGGATTCTCCTCACCTCGTTGTGTGCCAAGCCTTGCCCAGACTCTTCCAGGTGTCACGATCCTTTTTCTCCAAAGACTCGTCCAGCAGGTCGATGGCTGCCTCAGTCAGCAGAGGGGAAACAATGGAAGAAGCCAGGCTTGGCCAGGGACAGGTGGATAAAATCTGTATATTGGGCAGATGGGGAAGAATCACAGTGACAAGTCAGGTCAGCCCAGAACCTCCCACCTCTGAGGGTCATGTCCGAGGGCAGCTGTGTTGTCAGGGTGCCCTGCTCATGCCTGCTTTGGGTGCAGCTGGGGGTGATGAGATGTTTGCAGGGAGATCTGTAATTGTGAAGCGCACAGCGCTGGGTGCAGGGGAACGGTTCACACTATCACTGTGCAGCAGAGCTCCAAAGTGCTCTTTGAACAGAGCCAATCACACAGCCCTTGGGGGCGGTAGGCGGATGCCGGTTTTACAGATCAGGACATGGAACCACAGAGAGGGAAGTGATTTGCTCAAGGTCACAAAGCGAGCCAGCGGCAAAGCCAGGAATAAAAGCCAGGAGTCCTGACTCCCAGGCCTGTGCTTTAATCACTAGCCCATGCCCTCTCCTGGTAGCCATAAGGCTATGTCCTGAGAATTTTACTGCCAGGGAAAATCTGGGGTCTCTCAGATTCCTGTGGTGGGGAAAAATATGCATGCAACCCATGCATTGCCCACTGTGAGCTGGCCCCCCTCTGTGCCCACATAGGACAAAGGGGCTTAGCTCTGGAATTCCTGGCAGAAGCCACAATGGCAGTCTCTACACCTACCCCTGAAGAATGCAGCGTGACGCTGCTGCTTGCTAAAAGAGCCGATTGTCCCCTAGGCTGGGTGTTTGGCGCTCTGTCTCATCAGGTTTCTCTTTGCTGCTGCAATGGGTGTGTGGGATACAGCAAAGGTAAATGACGGAACCTTGCAAGCACCAATGAGACAAGAGGACGGCGGTTCCTTCCCTGTGTGTAGTTTTGCAGCTGATGGAAGCACTGCAGGTGCGTATGTGCTTTCCTTATTTGGTGAGGCTCCGAGACCTGGGCTTTGGGATCGGTCAACACTCAGTTTTTCTGGAGCCCTCAATCCAACTTAGGGTGACCAGATGTCTCGATTTTATAGGGACAGTCCTGATATTTGGGGCTTTTTCTTATATAGGCGCCAATTACCCCCCACCCCCGTCCCGATTTTTCACCCTTGCTGTCTGGTCGCCCTAATCCAAATCCCAGAGTATGAGTTTTGGGGAAGTTCTTCACCTGGGATAAGTTGGTTTAGTTCCATTGAAGTCACAGAGATGGTGGCAGCTCCACCAAAGCTGATGGAGCTATACCAATTGACCGGCTGAGGATCTGGCCTGCTAGTAAGTAATTCCCAAGGAGCGCAGGATCAATTTGGAATAATGGTGTCATTAGGAGAATACGATTCGCATACTGGTATTTTCCAGCCTGCCAGCTCATTGGATGCATGGATACGAGGGGAGTCAACCTGCAGCCCTGTCAATGAGATGGATCCTAACCGTCTGGGATACTCACGAAGGAGAGGATGGAGAAGATGATTCGAAGCAGTTCCGGGGCACTGGGCTGCTGCTGCAGCTTAGGTTTCAGCTTCCCCTGTGCAGACACAAAACATAGGCGAAGCTTTTCACCTCTCTGCCTTGGCCCCACTGCCAGGGAGGTAGCTGCACCCTGGGCGGCTAACGCAAGGAGGAGCAATGCAGAGGTGTTGCAAACTTGGCTGCAGCATGTGCTCTGTAACAACTGTGGCTGGCTCTGGTAGAGCAGGGGAGTCAGCAGCAGAGCCCCCAGCCCCCAGGAACTCCCTGCTGCATGGATATGACAAACACGTACCTATGCCGTATGCACTGTTCTTGCTATAGCTGTGTGACCCCTGACTCCTGCAGGGGCAAGGGGGGGGGGGGGGGAGGCTGCAGTCTTGGCAGGACAGAGCAGAGACGCCTGGCCAGGACTGCGAGGAGGAGCATCCCAGCCACTGCTGAACGGCTTTGTCCCAGGTAGGAGCCATTCAGCAACCGGATGGCCTGCCCCACGGCTGGGGACTCTTCCTCCTTGCAGGCCTGGCTGGGGATCTCTGCTCCTCCAGGCCAGGATGACTGCAGCCTCTCCGGCACCTTGCGCTCCGGTGTCTTGGGCCCCTTGGCCATGCGAGGAGCCCCCTGCAGCCTCACTGCCAGCACTGCCCTAGCCCTAACTCCAGCCAGACCCCCCACTTACTTTACAGCAACCTTAACAATTAAAATAATTAAAAATAGAAAAAAAAACCAATATGAATCATTGAAATTAGAGACAATAAAACCTGAATTTTGCCAAGCCTACATACGCACCACCCGACCATACCCCCACCACCCTGGCTCGGCATCCAGCAGGAGGGACAGCCAGGGGCATACAACACACTCAGCTCCAGCTACTCTTTTCTATATTGGTTCTCAGATCACACTCATCACCAAAGTTTCTGAGCGCCTAAGCAGAGGAACCCCATGGGAACGGCCATGCAAGACCAGACCAGTCCCCCAGCCCTCACTGCTTGTGCCAGGTCAGACCAATGATCCCACTAGTCCCATAGTGGCTGATGGAAACTTCTTCGGCTCAAGCGATAGGGCCCGAGCAGTGCCAGGGGTTTCCTGGCTCTAAGAGGTTGCCAAGTAGCCATAGATTTATCCCAGCGTTATAGGCACAGTGACCCCACCCTCCATCCCCAGATCCCTCCGTCCCTGATCCTGTTTAGTTTCAATAACTAATGTGATTCCCTGGTGGCGCTGAGGGGAGTGGGACACAGGGGGTTGGGTGCACAGGGTCTCTGCATCCAGGCATTTATATCATGCTCATCTCCATTGTATCCCAGTGCTCAGCCTCTTGCGGGGAGGGGATAGGTTCCCCTGTTGGACTTGTGCCCTCTGCTAATTGGGCCGGGCTGTGTCTGCGGACGATACAATGGGCTCTGTGTGCTGCTGCCATGGGCACCCCCTTGTTCGACCCACAGCCAGCTCTGCCCACCCAGCCGGTAGCCCCGAACCTACCAGCAGGTTTAAGGCGTATTTGATCTTCTGCAAGCAGGTCTCATACTCAGGCTCAGGGGGCAGCACTGTGAGGCAGAGAGAGGGAGAGACGGGAGGGAGCTGTCAGCCTGGTAGCTGGGCCCTTACACCCACCTCTCCCACACCGCAGCAAGCAGGCAGCCAGATGCTGACAGACAGATCGGCCTCCCCACCCACGCACTCTCAGGGCAGGTAGCTTCGCTCTCAGGAGTGGGCCCTGTCCATCTGGCCATCCATCGCCCCTCCTCCCTCCCCATCCCCTCTCCTAATAGCTGAGAACAGCAGAGAGCCTCAAGAGATGGGCCCCAGCCCCAGCTCTGGAACTGGCTCCTGGAGAGGCAGCCCAGGCCTGGGGACTGATCCGGGGCAGGAGCCACCCAGGCCCCGGGACCCCACCTAGCCATTAGGAAGGGGCAGCGGCTGTGCCAAAGGGCACAGAGCTCCGTTCATGGGGTAACTCCTCGCCTGCCCCAACGTCATGAATAGCCGTATGCTCTCCGCTACCCACTCCAGGCTGGAGATATGGATACACTAGCCAGGGGCACAGACCCTAGCCACTTCCTTCCCCTGGAGGCCCACAGAGACCTGCCCCCAGATCCACCTCTCCCCTGGGGGCCCACCCAGAGACCTGCCCC